TTATTTTCCTCCCCCGCCATTAATTTTTCTGGGTTCACCCATTTATCATCTTCAATGGGTATTTATGGCCTAGAAGCCAAGGTACTTTTGAACCAAGAAGCGAAGTACTGAAGATTTTTGAATGTGTAGGTACAAACCCTGCTGCAGGAAATAAAATCCAAATGCAGAATACGAAAAGCAGTCTCCCTTGGTGTGTGCTTTGCACATTTGAAAAGATCCTTATCACTGGCAAAGGGGTGAATCATTATTTTTCATTGAGGATGGAGCAAGGTAATTGCCCTTGACACTAGCCAGGGGTAGCGAATTTAGCAGTCACTGATGGAGTTGTGTTCCTGGTTATCACAGGTACAAAAAGAGCTCTCTCTTCCTGCTGATAACCAGGGGAGAGGCTCGAGGTCTGGGAGCGTCACGTGGACCCTGGGGAAGATGCTGGTGGAAGAGTGGGCCCCTCTGATCAGCCGGAATTGGCCCCAAGGCTCCTATGACAGCTAGTTCATCATACGAGGCTGATTGGAAGGAGCAGTCGTACAGCGTGTACATGTGTTCGCTAAAATAAAAACTAGCCTCTGTGCTGTCCCAGCATCCTGTTTTCTGTTTGTTCTTCCTTTATAAGAAGTAGAACTGGACTTAATAGGAATAATTAATTCTGCCAGAAATGTGCATATTCACACCAGTTTTTCTCCCAAAGTCTGGGCCATCTAAAAGATATTTGCAAAAATCATAATGACTGGTTAGCTCCCTGAACATAGGGACCTCAACATCTAGTCTAGTTAGATGGATGCTAACTTGCATTTATGTTCAGAATTAGATGAGGAAATTGGGGTCCTACTTCCATCCTTGCTGCCATTTGGAAATGGCACTTTCATACTCACTGCCTCTAATCCAAATTATCTTCCTATTGCACATCTCATTATTCCTGGGGAAAGCTCGAGTGTCTTTCTTCACGTGCCAGCTCTTGCTCACAGAGCTTGGCTTTATAATGCCATAATCACTGCATTGTCAATAGGAAATCACTGGAAATTACAGTCGACTAACCCATGTAAGGCATATGAAACCTGTAATGAAAATTATTTAGTATTACTAGCCTCATAAAAATTAATTTTATAATAATTAAGGAGAACTGTATAAAGTGACTTCAATCTCATTTTAATAAGTGATTTTGGTAAATTTTCCTGATTATAAAAACTTGGAGAAATTCAATACTTTATTATATAAGGGAAAATGGAAATGTAATTTAAATAAGTTTTTAAATCTTTCTAGACCAGGCTCAGAACACTTTCAGGAAGATGGTTAATGGTGAAATGTATTTAATTATTAGGCAAGATGAAGGGCTGAAAGAGCTAGATGAAACCTTTCCAATTGTTTATAAAAAGAAGAAAAAATACTTGCTAGTTCTCTCCCAAATGATTTGAGAGAGAGAGCTAGAAATTGCTTTTCAAATCAATATATTTATTGTTTTGAGAGAGAGAGGGAAGGGAGAGGGAGAGGGAGAGAAACATCAATGATTGAGAACCATCTACTGGTTGCCTTCTGTATGCCCCCGGTTGGGGATTAAGCCTGCAACCTCGGGCATGTGCCCTGACTGGGAATCAATCCGTGACCTCAGTGCATGGGATGACACCCAACCAACTGAGCCACACTGGCAGGGCACTAGCCACATATTTTTTTATATAAAGACAACTGAATTGAAAATACAGTTTTATACCTTTTAGTCAAATACACTGAAACCTAACTGATGTCACTAGAATAACAAGAATTCACTTTTACATGTTGCAAATTTAGAAATTGAGATAATTTAGACAGGGGTGAGGATGAAGCTTACTTTTACTTTATTTAGGTTAAAGTTTCCTAAGAAAGTGAACAAGCTTGCTAGGATGTGTTATCTATGAGAGGGAATAAGTCATTTTCAAGCTCATTCCTCCCCATCCCTCTCAACAGTTGCTGAGCGCTCACTCTGTGGGTGTATTAGTTTCCTGCGGCAGCTTTTTAGCAAATTACTACAAACTCGGTGGCTTAAAACAACACAACACAAATTTCTCTTACAATTTTGTTGGTTAGAAGCCAGACATCGTCTCATTGGGCTAATATCAAAGTGTCCATAGGGCTGCATTTTTTTCCTGGAAGCTCTGAAAGAGAATCTGAGACTGACTTTTTTGCTTTTTTCCATTTCTAGAGGCCATCCATCTACATTCCTTAACTCAAGGCTTCTTTCCTTCATCTTCAAAACCAGCAACATTATATCTCTCTGACCATTCTTTTGTAGTCATGTCTTCCTCTGACCACAGCTGGAAAAGGTTCTCAGATATTGAGGACCCATGTGATGCTACATTGAACCCACCCGATAATCCAGGACAATCTCCCCACCTCAAGGCCCTTAATGCTAATCACATCTACTATGTCCTTTTTAAAATTTTATTTTTTTTGCCGAAACCGGTTTGGCTCAGTGGATAGAGCGTCGGCCTGCAGACTGAAGGGTCCTAGGTTCGATTCCGGTCAGGGGCATGTACCTGGGTTGCGGGCACATCCCCAGTAGGAGATGTGCAGGAGGCGGCTGATCGATGTTTCTAACTCTCTATCTCTCTCCCTTCCTCTCTGTAAAATATCAATAAAATATATTTTAAAAAAAAAAATTTATTTTTATTTTTAGAGAGAGAGGAAGGGAGGGAGAGAGAGAGAGAAACATTGATCAGTTGTTCCTCTTATCTATGCATTCATTGTACATGTCCTGACCAGAATCAACCCACAACCTTGGCATATTGGGACGATGCTCCAACCAACTGAGCTGCCCGGCCAGGGCTGCTATGTCCTGTTTTGCCATGTGTGATAATATATTCACAGGTTCCCGGGATGAGACCTGGATATCTTTGGGTCATCTGCATACCACAGTGGGAGGTAGTGTTCATTTCACAGGACTATGAACCAGCATTAGAAGATACCATGCAGATATATTAATTTAAAACACATTTGGTGTATAATACATGAGTATGATAAATTCATATTTATTAATGAAGGGAATAATGTTTATGTACATAATACTACCTTATAATCTGTTCTCTTCACTTAAGTCTTATATGCACTATTATGTGAACTAAACATGCTATTCTACTCCTTACGCAAGGGAGAAGGACAAACAAAGAACAGGACACTTGGACAGCCAGAGCCTCCCTTCCGGTGCATGGATATGCTGCACAGTTGCGCCTTCTGATCAGCCTCATAACGAACTGGTCAAGGGATCTTTGAGATCCATACGGAAGGAAGGAAATATTTGTCTTTTATCAAGCTGCACGCCTGATGTTAGAGATTCATGTGTGCACAGTTTCTTATGGTGTAGATAATGCTTCACTGAACAGCCTATTTGTGCAGCTGTTTTATTGCTTTTATTGAATAAATCCCTTGGAAAAAATCATTTGAAAGAAATTATGGACTCAGAAGATATGTTGTCTAATTACTGGTTGCCTACCCTTTCCCCTTTTCTTATTTATAGGACCATAATTTTGTTTAGGTATTAAGTTTGGTCAAAGACCACAGGTTAAGCCCCAGGGAATAAATTCGTCTGATAAGCCAAACCTGGCTTTTTCTATCTCCTTTGCCAATAATTGATTTAAGAATTACCTGTGATTCAACCTAGTCCAATAAGACCAAGTTGAAGTTTGTATAGCTGATTGATCAGAGCTGGGATTTAGGCTGCTGCATCTGTGATGTGCCAACCCACCATCTGGGTGTCTGTTATTACTAAATCCACATGCGTGGAGGAGCTGAACTAGGATGAGATTGGAATAAGAGCGAAAAAAGGCAGTGGAGAGGGTGAAGCAAAGGAGGATTCAAAGAGGTCGCTGACATGTGGGGCCAGGGCGACTGTGTAAGAATGAGGGTTTGTGGTTCGGGTGTTTCAGATGCTCAGTGATATTGACTTCAATTTGGGACGGGTGACCTGAGGACAGAACATCCCAGGAAGTGTGGGCCTCCAGAGGCCAGTGGTTTCAATAGAAATGTGCTGTGAGCAACATATATAGGCCCCGTATATCATTTTAAATTTTCTAGTAGCTATATAATAGAATATAATAAAAAAGTAAAAAACAAAACAAAACAAACAAACAAAACCGTGAACTTAATTTTAATACTATATTTTATTTAACACAATATACAAAAATATTATCATTTTATTATATAATCATTACATATTCCAACATCTCAATTTGTTCTGGTCACATTGCAAGCACTTTAAATAGCCGGGCACCTAGAAAGATGAATTTAGAAACGAGTTGTAATGTCAGCTCCTTCCTTTGCTTGTGAACGTGAACCTGTGTTTGGGCTGCTCTTGCCCAGTATGTTCCCAGGAGCAGGACAGCTGGGAGGCAGCAGATGAAATAGTGCCCCGTTGGTTTCCAAGGTGATGGCTCCAGCTCACACTCTCACTAGTAACGTGTAAAAGGGTCCTTGCTGTTCCACATTCTCAATGACATTTGGAAAAGTCACATTTCTTCATTTTTGTCAAACTGTTGTTAGGATTCAGAAAATATTATTATTATTATTATTATTATTATTATTATTATTATTATTTCCTTCTTTCTTGCTTTTCTTTTTCTTCAGTGATTTTTTTAGTCATAACTACTGGAGTTTAAGATTAAATATGTTTTGATTATGTAGAAGTGTTGGCTATCATCTGGGTATCAGCATGCTGTGTTTTCTGCAACAAGACAGATAACTTTAGCTAATTTTGAGATGTGTTCTTTTGAATCTTCTCAAATCCCAAGGATCAAGAGCCTGAGAACATACACTTTTTAAAAAGCTGCATCCTGTCAAATAGCCAAAAATGTGGGAACATCCACAGGAATATCTTGTATGATTCAGGGCTGTGTTCTGTGAGCACAAATACTGCTTGAATTCATTTCACTGCAACCACCAATGTACTGTAAACTGACTATGTGCAAAGTGCTATTTAAAGGAAACGCAGATGACCTTATTAATCTTTGGAATAATTATTTGTCCCTCTTTCTTAGATAATGATGTTGAAAATGATCTTCAATCAGACATCAGTTGAACACTGCAAGACGCACCCAGAAAAGCAGAAGGAATGCAACTTCTTCTTAATAGCTGTGCGCCTGGCTTCACTGAACCAGATCTTGGATCCCTGGGTCTATCTGCTGCTAAGAAAGATCCTTCTTCGGAAGTTTTGCCAGGTAGCAAATGCTGTCTCCAGCTGCTCTAATGATGGACAGAAAGGGCAACCTATCTCATTATCCAATGAAGTAATACAGACAGGAGCATGAATGAGAACACTTAGTCAACATGCATGTTCACAGCTTTCGGCAACAAATAGCCTTAAAACTTACTGTGAATTTAGGCATCTCTGGCATGCCACTGTTTATGCATTGAAGTAGAATTTTTGATATAAGGACAAATGGTCTCAGCATAGATAATCCCCTGTGTGCCAGAAGTATTGAAACACAAACAAGGGAAATATATGAATAACAATCTAATGTTTTTGGGCCTCTGCCATTTGTAGCTGAATATGTGATTCTTTATAAGTCATCTTAGTCTGTGGTGGGGGTGGGGTGGGGAAAGTTAATATTCACGTATACTGAGCACATGGGGGATTTAATGCGTAGATCATCAAAGATAAGGCAACCATTTGTTTTTGTTCAAAGTCCTTGATCTTCTGTGTTCTCTTTTACTCTCTCTCTTTTTCTGTGTCACTCTTTTGCCCCCTTACTTAAAAAAAAGAAGTTGAATTAAGATTTTAAAATGTATCCATAAGCCCTGGCTGTTTTTGCTCAGTGGTTGGAGCATCCACCCTTGGACCAAGGGGTCGAGGGTTTGATTCTCGTCAAGGGTACTACCTGAGTTGCAGGATCCCCACCCCAGGGCAGGAGACAAACCCAACCATGGGTCTCTCACACATTGATCTCTCTTTCTCTCTCTCTCTCTCTCTCTCTCTCTCTCTCTCTCTCTCTCTCTCTCCCCCTCTCTCTCCTTCCCTCTCTTCCACTCTGTCTAAAAATCAATGGGGAAAAAATATATCCTCGAGTGAGGATTAACAAAAAAAATGTATCACAATATTCATTGGTACTGCTGTTATTTAGGTATTGTTTAATATGTAAATTAGCTGCTAACATTACAAAGTTTAAGTTTTAGTTGGGTTGGAATTAGTTTTACTTATTATCTGAATAAGAGCCAATTTTACTTATTTTAAATATGGGAGGACTTGTGACTATTCATTTTGCTAAATGTTCCTTTTTTTGCATACATTGTTAATTCCTACAAGCCTGGAGAAGATTCACGGAACTGATCTTGAGAGTCAGTGAAGTGACTTTTCAGAATGCTATTTAAGGACTGGTTTGAGTGCTAAATTTAGGTACTCTGGTTCATTATCTTCTCTGATTAGTTTCACTAAAAGTATTCTCCAGTCTTTTGGATATTTAAACACTAACTCAGATTCTAAAACCAATAAAATGTTGAGGGTTCCATAAAGAATTTTCATAGTTTGACCTATTTATTGGACAAGAAAACAATAATATTGACTCCCTCACAGCAATTTCTCTGCCCTCTCCTCAGAGTAGCATATCTAAATATTTATTATGAAATGTTTTTCTTACCGTCTACATCTATACTAACCTTAATAGCTAAGCTTTATATCTTTTCGGCATAAGTAGATTACTACATTAAGTTTTGAGAATTGCACTTTAAAAAAATTTCCCAACAAACACAACAGTGTTTTAAGTTAGGCCTACACAAAATGTGCTTTGTATTCTTTGGAGCATTCATTTTGTAAACAAATTAACATTTTCTTGTGAAGATTTTAATTTTCAGGTTACATTATTGCTTTCATGGTTAAAAAACAAACACCTTACGATTTATTTATATTTCTTCCTAGTAACTACATTTTCCTTTGAGTTTAGTAGGCAATTGGAGAAGAATTAACTTTAACAGGTACTGTGTTTCTATTCGATTACTCTGTTCACCAGCCCAGTTCAATGAGGAATCATCAGTTTAAATGCCCATGCCACACTGAGTGAAAAGACAAGATCTGCTGGGGGTGCTTATGTTAATTCATGATAGTTCCAAGAGTCTAGGTTTTGGGGAAAATGGTGTTAAGTAACCTATCCTAAAACCCATGGCCAAATCTCTCTATGCCATAAATCAGATGATCTCTCAGGTCACCTCATGGGGGACAAGACAAAACTACCTACGTTAGAAAAAGAAAGTGCACTTAGGAGGGCCTTGTAATAAAAAGGCTTTGCCTCTTGAGTGGCCCTCTAGCCCTAGGTTACAATCAGAGAGGTGCACGTGCACTGTGGATCCTAGTGGTGTGAGCGCGATTGGGTTGCTTTTTCCCAACACCTAGCACAGCACTTGGAATATAGAAAGTGTTCAATATTTATTCAGTGGATGAATGAATGCCTGCCAAACCCGAGTGCCATCAGCGAGGCACCGCCATACGGTTGAAGTGCTTTATGCCACTACAGTTGATCAAGCTGATAAAGTGGATGATCCCTGCTTATTTAATTACAGAAATATGAATTTATCTTCAACGTGTAGTGTCATATTGCTGCACAGCAAAGTGCTTTATTTGTATTAATAATTTAAGGGACTGATAAATCCAAATGGTAATGGAGATTACTGTCAAAGAAAAAAAATCCCTTCTTACCCAACCATAGAAATACATAAAGATAACAGAGCATGAAACTGATTCCCACAAAATAAATTCCTGGTAGAAGTGGACAAATGGCAAGTGGAAAAGGAAGAAATCATGTCAATGGCATATAAGTTTTGTTACCTTGGCAGCCATTTGTTAGCCCAGGAAAACCTGACACGACATAAAAGTCACAAATAATTTTAGCCGTTGTGTGTGAGCTGCGGTTAGGTTTCAGAGAATTTGAGGAGAGGCCCTGGATGTGGTTAGGAAGTGGACATCTATAGGCACTGCACAAGAGGATGTCTGTTCCTGAGTTTAAGTTCATTGGCCTTAAAATTCACTCTCATATATGTACTTAGTTTATGCCTATATCTGAGCAGGGGACAAATACATGCATGAATACATGCACAATTTCTAAACTTCACAATATTGGTAAAAATAAATACATAAATAAATATCTAGGAAACTACATGGAAAGAAATGAGTGAGTAGAATGTGGAAGTATAGGTGAAATCAGCCTTCATAGATTTTACAAATGAGTCCTGATTTTCTAAACCATGAAATTATAGAAGAAAATGATGACATACTATACAATAAGAACAGTTTGCTTATCAAAGTACATAGGTTTGGTGGATTTCTTAAAAATATTTTAAGTTGAAAAAAAAGTGTTACCTCAAAACTTATCAGATTTACCTATTGTTACATCCAAGATATTTCAAGTAAACATAAGTGCTTAATCATGCCAGATGTAAATGACTATTTAAAAAGTGCACATATATTTCTACTTAACACTTTCTGGTTATACAAAAGATCTTGGGATCATGTTACAGAAAAAAGAATTGCAGAAGCTCTTGTAAAACTGAACTATAAAAGACCCTGTGATCATGCTGAAGGGAAGGAGGCAGGGGAGGGAGGGAGGGAGGGAGGGAGGGAGGGAGGGAGGGAGGGAGGGAGGGAGGGAGGGAGGGAGAGACCTGGGTTCAAACCTGCAATCTGGTATGTGCCCTGACCTTTCTGGTATATGGGGTTATGCTCTAACCAACTGAGCCAAGCAACCCAGCAAATTAGGCTTTTTATTTATTTAATACTTTTAATATTTTCATTGGTTTTGACCCCAAATTAGTGGTTGGTTTTCAATCTTGTGCACAACAATCATTTAATAATTATTTTGTATTTGGATCAAGTCAGAGACAGAAAATAGGAAAATTTTGTGCTTTGCAATTTTAGGCACATATATTTACTACTTATTTTCACACTTTAACCCCAAAAGCTGCTTTGAAATATACAGAACACTGGAAGATGAGTGACACAGAGAGTCTGCAGAGTATTTATTTCTAAAACTATATGGAATAATCAAAATTTCTAGGAAAAGTTTAGACCATCAATCATGCCAAATCTTCACAGAAGCTTGTTTATTGCTGGTTTTGTGCTTGTATATGTCTCAAAATTTCTAAAACTGATGTCTAAATAAATGTACAGAATTGTTTAATGAATGAGATTACATTGTTTTTAAAATGAAGACTTTAATACTCTGGCTAAGTACATAGGACTGTTTTCTGAGTTGCGATAAAATGCTCATAAGAGGTGACATATATCTGTGAGGTGTCATCACGTAGATTGTGATAGAACCAATGTACAAAATTTAAAACCAATCTAAAGCTCATATACATGTTTGTTAAGAAGCTGAAACTCAGTATTCTAAGACAACTAATAGGTGGTGATTACATATGAAGCATGAAACAGAGACTTAGGGAACATTTTTTCATAGAATTCCATTATATTAGTATAATTTATCAGGTGTGGGGAACCTTTTTTTCTGCCAACGGCCATTTGGATATTTAGAACATCATTTGCTTAATATAAGTTTATGTTGCTATGAAAAAAGCTCCTACATTAATTGAATTTCGAGTCCTGCCTGCCGTTGCCTAGGTAGGGCCAAACCAAATGACTTCTCGGGCCTATGCAGCCAGAGGGCCGGATGTTCCCCACCCCCGGTTTACATAGATACTGATCTCATGCAAAATTCATATTCACCTGAATGACTACAACCGGAAAGGTGTTCATTTTATTATGACTTTGTATCTATGGTTGTCAAGTACAATCTTGTACTGTGTTCCCTGATACATTTGTTGATGGAGTCCACCTTGGATAAAAATGCAGAGTGTAAAAAAGGAGTAGTATAGGTGACTGTCCTCAAAGTGGCAAAGGGAAAACTGAGACTGTACATATCAATGAAGGCTTTAACAACTCTAGAATAAAGTCATTTTTTTTTTTTCCAAAAAGAGATCAACAATTAGTTTTTAAGTCAGATGGAAAGAGATCTTCAAAACATGCTACTTAACAACTCCATTCTCACTCGCTCCTGTTCTCCATTCTTTTAAGGAAGGAAAGAGCAGAAAGTTCTCATGTTATATATTCTCTGTTTTATAATTCCTAAAAGGATTGTATTTCAAGGCTTATAATTTATGCAAGTTGAGTTGTAAACCATTACGTATATTACTATCAGCTGAGTACATTTTGATTCTTAAGAAATACAATTTGATT